CATGGCTGCAGCGGGAGTGCAGCCGAAGAGGATGAGAAGAGGCTGTTAAGAATATTTCGGCCACATGTGCACGACCGATGGAAATTATTTTCTGATGACGTTTGTCGACGGTGTTACTTTCTTATAGACATTTCAGATACAAATAGGACCACGTTATTACAAATGCTTACGTAGCTGTTGAAAACTAACGTTTCAGCGACGAATATATTTTGCAAGAGATACGAAATAGTATATAGATGTTAGAATGTATTTACTGGCAAGCTACAATGGCAGACTATAAAATTGGTATTGAGATAATGGTGCAATAAACTGCCGAGGCTCTGGGTCGTTTAACCGTGGAACTAAATTTAAAGTCTGGAAGATCAATAACGCATTTGCAAGAAAGTTATTTTTCAAAGTAACTTTCCAGAAGACGAAAAAATCAATGTTATTTGTAATTACCGATTACGAATCATATCTGTAACATAGATAACAACGCAAAAAAGAATATAAAGCATATTGCTATAATTATGCAATTATCATATTGCAAATGGATCGGATGCCAAACTTTCATAAATATTTATTTCACGATCAGCGAGAATAAATACGTAAAATCAATTAACGCTCTCGTTATTCCCAACACCAAAGAAAAAGCTTTCATTTACACACCGATTATCGCTTATCATTTAATTTCTACATTAATTTACACATTATTAAACTACTTGAGAAACGAGGATCAACAAGTTAGCAACACGAACAACGATTACGTAATAGAAATTTACTTGTTTATTCATAAAGCAAGCAATCAGAACTTAATTCAAGAAGCCGCGCGTAGATCCAACTATGTACGCGTTGCGTCTGAAACCGCAAATCGTCGGACGGGTAGTCGTAACATTACTCGTCGTTTGCCAAGCGAGCTACTTCGAGCCGTGGCACGTTTTCTCGTGGTATCCGTACGTTGCGATTCATTTCTCGCGCGATGTTAATTGACGCTGTGGAATTACATCGCATTTGCATGCCGGACACGTCGCGACGTCCGTTCCGCGTTGCTTTATTTTTCCGTTTTACGCGCGCGCTCCGCGTTTCACGCGTGTTCCGTCGCGAGGGAGATGGGATGACACGAACGTTACGGCCAGAATTATTGCATCGCGCACGATTAACCACCCAAGTATTAAGGCACGGCCTGGATTTCCGAGAAATCGACCGTTTGCGTGAAATAACTCGCCGATAAAATTGCATCGCCGCGCGACCCAACGTTTTATAAATCAGCCGGATAAAGCGTTCGCTATTAAAGCAACATCGTCGGTACGTGTCGAGCTCGTTATTTATCTATCTAATCTGAATAGATCCATGTACCGATAGTTTACAAATTTACTCGAATTAAAGGATAACATTGATTAACGACCTCCTTTTTAATTCGCTTTAAGAACGATAATTCAGCAAACCGAATCTTACATGCAGTAAATCAACTATCGCCGGCGTTATTCATTAAGCCGCGATAATAACAAATCTTTTAGTCTTATAGAGAGCTTTCAAGAACAGATTTCCTCGTGATTAATCGACTTCGTGTCGAGGGGATTAGGCAACGTGAATGAGGTTTTCAAGCGGCGACGAAAAATTAGATGTCGCGATAGCCGAGGCGGTATTTGATCGGTTATCGCGACTCAAAACGAGTAGCCAATGACCGGCCATGCTGTTTGGAAAACTTTCGAACCAGTGAATTGTGCTGGTCGAGCACGAGTGCCACTTCACTTCGTCCGGCTATTTCTTTGTTCTTCCATGCGAACGTCTCGAGGACGTCTCTGTTCGTGTTTTGTGTGCTTTGCAGCCAACTTCTGATTGCTCGTAAAATTGACCTCTTTCGTTCCTTTTTACTATCAACTGTTTACTTTGATCAGTTTAATTACCGATTCTTGTTGTTTTATTTGGACACAGCTTCTTGTCCAGGAATGTACACCTGGACAAATTACAAGGAATTTGTAAGATTACGAAAAAAAACAAAGTTTCCTTGTATCTTACAGCATTATTTATCTTGAGAATTCCTTTAATCCTCTAAAAAATATTATAACGAGTACTTTGCTTCGAATATTTTTAACATGTTCGCGTACTGTGTTATACATGCGATCGTTTTGTATATTTTTGTACATTTAAATCTTCTACTGACAACTCATCGAAACCTTAAACAAACCAACGTTAGTCTCAGGCGCTATTGTTGAGAAAGCAGAAGAGGAATCGGTGGAGTAAAGTCCACGAGATCGTACAATAAAGAATCGATGTTTATCACTGGCGGCAACGTCGAAACGAGCGTGCAAAGCGTGTTGTCACGATCGGGACAACGCGCGACGACGGTTTACCGGCATGCGATCATAACGTACGGCTTCAACGTTGAAAATTCGCCCCGTGTGTCTGTGATTATGCGCGCTGTTTACGAGTGTCATCAGGCGAAACTAAAGCTGAATATTTATGGTTCAATTAAAGATCGATCGAGGATGCGAGATTAATTGATACTAGCTCGCTGAACGTATAGATTTTACCGCGGATAGTGTACGCGATATGTTATTCGCATTTTTCTTCCGATTCCGTAATATCGATGTATCAACCGGTTTGGTGATCTCGTCCGTTGTACATCTCTAATGCTACATGTATTTATGTTGTATCAGTGATACAATATGTACGTGTTTGATAATTGCTGATTTTGTAACTGTCATGTACATTCTCCAATTGGTTTCAAATTTTACCACTAAAAACATAATAGTCATGTTCTCGTTACAGTACTAATGACATTTCAAAAAGTTCTCTATAGCGTGCATAGTAGGTACACGTTCGTAAAAATTGTTCAGGATAAATGTTGTGATCGTGTTTGTCCACGTTAGAATCTCGATGCTCTTTTATCTGTAAATCTTGTGACATATTAGTGACCCAGAGAAAGTTTGGTTTCGCGGAACGTCGTTCACCTATGGTCGTGAAAATATCGGTCGTGAGCAATTGATAGTCAACCGGACAAGGGTAATAACGAATGGCAACCATAACTCGACGCTACGTTCGCCTGTGGCGCGACTAGATGTGGAAAACATGCGAGATCACCGTTAAGGTTTCGGAAGTATGTACTTCTAAGAGAGTCGCGGACACGCGAGCCGTCGATGCGGTAATTCATTGAAAATTTATCACCTCAAAGAAGCTTGCGAGCGGTATCACGCGACGGCGCCTTCGCTAATCGACATTAATTTTATTACACGCGACTTCTTCGTACATTTCCTCGTCTTTTTTCTCTCTTGCAAGCCGGTTCTCTTCGCTAACGGAGAAAGTTCCTAGAACGCATTGGAAGTCTTCGCTCTCGATGAACTTAAGGCCTGTACGATGAAAAGTGAAACGTTTTCTCGAGTTACGAGTACAATACTTCAACTTCGTACATTATGTATATACGTCGTATAGTTGTTATAGGTCTGTATCTTCCTATTTCGTTCGAATTAATTCTATTTTAAGAAGAACTCGACGATTCATTGCGAAATAGTAGTAAGAAACGGAAAATTTCATAAGCTCTTAGGCATGTATTTCTCTTCGTTTCGAAGAAATCGTCAAAAAAATATCGAACTTCGTATAAAGAATAAGTAATATTTGAGAAGAAAATGGTGATATTTCTTGAAATCAGTATTATGTGAGAATGAGTTGTCGCTTTTATTACAGAGAATGTAATCCGTAAATCGTACAATTAGTTACAAGTACAAGCTAGCTACAACAACTTACACGCGTTATTTTCAGAAAGGGTTCGCGAATGTGAGTTTAACCTCTTCGTTTCTCTCGTTCAATGTCGTGGACCGAGCATGCTGAACGTTATCAGCGCGCAACGTTCAGTATGGCCACCAAAGCACCCGAACCAGTATTCCCACGCGAATGTCCTCCGAACCGTATCTGAACCTCCGTCGCAACGTGTTCCGAAGGATTTTTCTGCGAACGGAATATGCTCTGGGAACGATTTGATGTTAGCTCGTCGCGACAGCGAAAATATTTATTTTTCCGAATTACGATAATCCCGCTGCCGTGAATAGATCACGATCATCGAACGTTATACGGAAACTTATCGTGTCGTTCAGAGTTAAACGGAGTAGTAACCACGTAGGCGTTCCAAAGCATCCATAATTTATTAACCAGAATAATCTCGAATATCGACAACACCAGTGAGAATTCCAGAAGCCCGAAGAATAACTTTTATCATATTTAAATTATGCCTGACTTTAACGAAAGTTATTTGATTTTCTTCCCTTTGTTTATTTATTTATTTATTTTTATTTTAAACAAAAGTTCGTATTTCTTATACGTTCGTGTCTCTATTACGTGAATTGACAACACGTTTATAGATCAATATGTGAGTCTGTGATTTCTAGAAGGAGAGATTGATTTCGGTCGACGTGAAAACAATGTGCACCATCATCGTGAATATTATATCCAGCTCAAAGGAAATGAGCAAACGTCGGATACACTAGCTGTCTGACAGAACGTACACGATCCGCTAACCTGGATCACCTACCGCGCTAATCCCTCTGATCCTTTCTGGCGCAGATAATCTGTAGGCAAATACGAGACTCGTCTTTAACAGACAGATTTTACGAGCATCCTTGACGTCGTTTAAAGACCTCATCTTGTTCTGTACACCTGCCGGATCTGGAGAACGTGGGAATTACGAAGGAAGGGAATAGTTTATTTCTTAATAAGTATAAAAATAACGTAGCGAGGAATTAATCGTAACACAAGGAAATAATTTGTAATTTCATGATTAAACGATAATCTATCTTTTGTAGTGCGTTTAATTCCCATCTTTCGATATAATTAATTAATGCGTGATTTACTCAATTCGAGAGACGTAAATTAATGACAGCAACGACGATACCTACTTTCGTTTCTAAATTGAGAACAACTATTTGTCTCAGTCTGTGACGCTTTTAATCGAGTAACCTTCTTATTTGAACGACTTCTTCGCGCCCTTGGTATGTCTTTACGACAAACAAAATGGCGCACAGGGCAAGAAAAGTAGACGTCTCGCGATGCGAAGCACGTGGTTGGTGTTGCGACAGTAAATGTCGTGTCGCGTTTCAACGAACATGACAGCGACACAGCAAAATGCAATTTTCTCGCGAGTCGACGATGACGAAGTGGTTCCGCTGTGCGGGATCGGATCTCGTCGCCCAATCATGCGCGATTCGCGCGCGTTCGTGCGCACTGAATCGTCCCGTCCTCTCGCATTCGTGTAATTTCTAGTCAACATATCGTACAAAACAAGTAGCGTTATATCAAGGTTCGAAATTTTAACAGACCGATCTTCCACTTTTCATAGCGATTCAACGATGTAACATTCAAGGATTACACAGAAAGAACACGATATGTCATATTTTCCATTTTTTTATAGCGAAGCAGTTTTATCCGTTAACCGCGTGGTTTCTTAACCGGAAACTTGTACGTGTAATTATGGAATAAAAAATTTTCTAAGAAAGATTAATTCCCGTGGAATATATTGGATATATCGAAGAACAAGAATAATATTTGCCTTTGGTTGAAAATGTAAATGCGACGGAGTGATTGATGACGGTGAAAATGAAAGTAATAGAAGCGAATGCTTGTTAACCGAGAACATCCTGTCAGCTAAGTAATTGTAGTTAAAACTGGTCGACGCTTTCGAGTGTAAAAGATACTCTGGGAAAGTCTCAATGTTCAATTACGGATGAAGCTCGCGCGTTTATGTAAACCGAAGCGTCGTGTATCCTCTCTTTTATGTAAGTTCTACGCAAGATACTCAAGTACAAAGAGAAAGGAGCGCCTTCGATACTAAATATCATAGCTGTCATCGTATTATTTTTTGCATTTTAACGAGCAGACACTTAATATTCTTGAGCAAGACGATGTGGAATTTTTGTAATTTCCATTACAGGTATTTAAGCTTTTACTACGAATACACACTATGATTTTCGAATAGAAATCTTGTCCTTGTAGAAGAATCTTTCTGTCACCTTCGCGAATATAATATTCGCGATTATGTCGATGATCAAGTGTATACGATGTATTAGGAAAATCAATACAGATGCAAAATCGTAACGAAGTGCACGCGATTTACATGAGAAAGCTTTAGACGTTTAAATGAAATGGCGAAAATCAGTGGCTACAGCACAGGATGAAAATAATTCGCTGCTGAGTTCATTCGAAATCATCTGAAACGAAATCATGGGTGTGTATCGATCGATCAGTTTAGCTGATTCGACTATAATAAAATCGATTACGATGCAAGTAATAACAGCTGTCAAAGAAGATTAGCTACAACGAAAGCTATCGAATAATCCCTTAGGACACGATAGCAATCATTCGACGTTCCTTTTACAATGCTGCCACGCTTTCGAAGCCTGTTACCCTCGCATTTATCGAATCGAAGCTTAAACGTACTCGTCGAAATTATCTTCTCTGTATTTAACGATTTCCATTTCCATATCGACTCGACGAGATGCAAATGAAGGCATGTACCGTGTCGTATCGGCTGCGATCGCTATCAAAACAATCAATTCATTAATTTAATTTCGTCTTGTCACCGCTTGACAATGTGTTTGTATAGATGGCATAAATTTCAATAACAAATATAAAGCCACGGGGATTTGCGTGCTCGAAATACATTAAAGGAGAGCTGGTCTTCCAATAATAAACGCTGTATGAAGTGTCACTTTCTTTTGTACGTTCAATTTCTGCAGCTCTTCGTACTAATAATATTAATATGCATTCTTTACTTTCTTGTTGCATAAAGGTATTTTTCTTATACTTTAAGAATTTCTTCTTATATGGAGATATGTTACTTATGTTTTAGGAGACGAGTTTGTACCAGATCAGTTCCCAACTCTGTCAATCATCATCATCGAAATGGACAAATTAGGTAAATCAACGTTTCTGTAAAACGAGATGTTTCTTTATAGATTGTCGTAAATGTGTATTATTTATTATTAAACATCGACATAAGCGATTAAAATATTTATATTTAAGATTATAACTGTTACGAAGAAGATTAGCACTATTTCGCACGATCAAGTCCGATTATTTTTAGGTATATTAATGTTATTAATGTTAAGACCGATTCATCTTCCGTTTTCTTGTGCTGTCCTGGATGGACACAGGCGACTCGCTTGAGTTTTGGATGTAATAAACGTGAGTAAACGATCACAGGCATTCTAAACATCTCCATAAAATGTTAACTTTATACGGATATAAAAGAACTGTCAAGTTAATAAGTCGAAATTTGTATTCTTGTAATCGAAGTTTATTGCTACGAATATTAGTTGACTATTAATTTATGGTACGTTTAAAAAAGTCATTCAATTCTGATGAATTTTCAGTTGGAGTTTTTGTTGGATTATTTAAATTACTGGAAATGGAACCGTTTATTGTAATAACACATTCAATTGTTATTAAAAATGCGAAAAATAATGAGAAAAATTTGATGACTTGATTTGTCTAGATGTGAAATGTAGAACAAAAATCTTTTATGGACATGCAAGATATTTATTAGTCGATAACGAATAATTATGTATCGGGTTATCGGTACCTGAATTTAATTGCTTTTCAGCTACTTGCCCTTCCCCGTGCTTAAACGGAGGTGTGTGTACCTCTCCTGGCAGGTGCACGTGTCCCAAAGGATTTACCGGCAACCAGTGCCAGACAGGTAATGTCTAACACGAATACAAATCGACTCTAAATTGTCACTCCAAATGCTAATCAACGTTACGTGTCTAACACCTTTCCTGCTTTACATTTTATTACCAACTTCGCTCTATTAACTTTCTTGCAGGCATGTCTTGTTACAATATCGCGTAACCACGTCTAAATTAAAATATATAAATACCAACTATACTTTCATTGCAAAGATTAATATATTAAAAAGAACAATATATATAATATATTAAATTAATTAATATATTAATAGATTAATAGATTAATAATTAATATATTAATAGATTAATATATTAAAAGAACAAAGAGAATATTAAAAAAATAAGAATGTTCAAATTTCTTTTTCCGTAAAATTAATCTAAATTTAAATTTATTCTTTATTATCAACGTAAAATCAAATATTCTGATTCGATTATCACTAGAACGAAGCATTTTCAAACGCTTCGATTCTCACGTTCAACTCTAAACTGCACAATTGCGAGCAACGTCCGTTGCTCCTTATTTAGGCGAGGCCCCGGGTGCCGTGGAAGTAAACGAACCTCCGTCAAGCTAACGATGCAAACAACGAGCGTCGTTAAATCGTAAAATATCCGTAATCGATATTCGCGGCTCGGAAACACGTCCTCGTAACCAGAATCGTTAGGCGTAATTAAATTGACGTAGGCCGATACGCAGGTCGATGGCATTGCGCGAATACCATGCCGACCAAACGTATTGTAGTGTCCAGCAGCTAGGCTGCTTTCGATAGATTTACGAGCGATTTCATTAAGCTATGCGGTCATTCTAATTACCAGGGCGAAGTGAGTCGTGTCGACGTGCCGCTCTCAATTCGATAGAAAAATCCTTTACAAGGAGTTTCAACACTCTCTAAGGAAATATCCTTGAAGCTTTCATAATTTTACGATAGAATGTGTTGTTCAGCCCTACCGTAGAGGAACAAAGAGAGGACAAATCTCAGGATCCAATCGTACGTCCGTTTCGACGAAAATAGCTTTCTAGCTTCGAGAAATAATAATTAAAATAGAATATTATTCGTATCAACGATAATTTTCTTATACTTGCATTAAATTATATATTGGGTTGGCAACTAAGTGATTGCGGATTTTTTCATTGGGGGTAATGACAAAATCCGTAATTATTCACTTTCTCTTCTATTAGGTTGGCAACTAAGTGATTGCGGATTTTTTCATTGGGGGTAATGACAAAATCCGCAATCACTTAGTTGTCAACCCAATAGAAGAGAAAGTAAAATTGAGAAGAAACCCAAGAATTATGATAAAGCTAAGGGAAGAATATTTTATTTCGTTGGAAAAAATTTGGCGTATCATAGTTAGGTCCTTTGCGAATTTAAAAAATATCGATTTTGGTTCAAATTCAAACTGATCTATCGCTATTCATTTTTGTATCGTACGCGTATATAGCATTTAATAGTGTATTATTATTAAGATTATTTGATACTGTAATATTACTTTAATACTATCATCGATTAAACGATAACTCAACATTAAACACGTTGAATAGAAAAATTTGATCGCGTTTCACTTTCTACGATATAATATGTTATCAAAGCTATATAGAATATGCGAATAAAATGTGTCCTTCGTATAATTAAGTCGAAATGATTTATACAAATCTTAGACGTTGAAAGAGCACTCAATTTCCTTTATACTCGCTTCATTTTTTTATGTTGATCAATGAACAAGTTACTTTAAATGGCACCGATCCCCACCTTTCCCCATTTATCCTCGATCACTCACCAACTAAACGACCAATCTACATTGCCAGTAATTTATTCTGTAAAATCCTCGAGCTCATTTCGAGAAATTCATCGGACCAACGAAAGGCAGCGTTTCATTGCGGAGAATTTGCGCAATACTGCTGGCCGGAAATCGAAGGACTTCGCGATGGATCAGTCGGTAGCGTGCAGCTGTCACGTTTATGCAATTAATTTTTGCACGAATTAGCATAACTTGTCTACCAACGTTACAGACATCGACGAGTGCGTGACAGAGAAGCCCTGCGATCAACTTTGCAGAAACCTACCCGGAACCTACGAGTGCCACTGCAGACCCGGTTTTCAACTACAAAAAGACGGCCAGTCCTGTCGAAAGAATAGTGAGTAATCGTTGGAAAAATTCTACTCGACTGTCAAAGATGAATTTGTTTTCGAGATTTCTCGACAGTGACTAATATGCTATTGAGAAACACACGAAATAGCACTTTTTGACCAATTTACATGCTGTCTATGAAACGTTACACATACGCTGCCTAGCACCAGCGAACAACAAGTTTTTCAATGGCTTCTTGTTGTTCTCGTCCCATTGTAGGTTCTCGAATTTTAGATAAACCAACGACAATGTTATTTTTATCGAAGGGACTATACCGTTTTGTCACATCGTTCCCATTGATCTTGAACTTCAGTGTCATCTACACGAGGTCTGACTATGTGAGAAGAAAAAGGTTGCCGATGGTCAAGTTCAAGATCGCTCGAAATTGGCTGAGCTTTAGAAAACAGACTGACATGTGGTAGATTGACCTAAATTTTAAGCTTGAGTGATTTTCAGCTTAAAATGTGACCAAGCCATTGTGTAATACAGGACACAGACAAGGAGTGTAAAGTGTGACCTATTTAAATAAAAGTTCCAATCATAATTTTATTAGGAATAACTCTAGAGATTATATTGCAAAAGAACATTAAAAAAAAAAAAGATTGTATTCCTATAATCCTCCTGCTGTTTTAATATCCCTGGCAATAAATATAATATAATTCTTTTCCCTGATACAAATGTCAGTAATTTCGAACCATTTTTATTAATTTACTACATTTATTCTTGCTATAATAGAATATCAAAGTATTATATTGTCTCCATTAACTTTAATCATAAACTACAGATAGAACTAAACCATCGTAATAAAGGAACTGCCACTTGCTCTATAAGGTAGAAAGAGGCGATCTTTGAATAAATTTACTACGAGATCAAATTTCTTTTCAAACAGTACGCAACAGTATGTAATAGCGTCAAGCGAAATGCTGCACATCGTAAACGTACATTACGTCTTCAGTATCAATATTTCGCAATCTTACAAGAACCGGAAACAGCAATCCTCGTCCTAAACCTGAGGATCTGATCGCGGATCAAATTACTTCCACTTTGATCACGCTTCCATCCCTTTTTCAGTCACCGAAGATACGGCGTTCGAGGCTCGAGACTTGGAGAATGATTTCCACGAAACAACAATGACGAAGCGTCCGGCGATCTCGTCGCATGGTTTGTAATTGTAAATTCCTCTGTTCTTTGCCTCTCTTTCTTCTTGCTCTCATTTCTCCAATATTATTTCCGTAAATGCAAGAATATTGTGAATTCTGTAGTTAAATGACAATATCAGAGACTCCCATTTACAGATACGGAAAACGAGGTGACTGACGATGACCTCGATCAGGACTATGAGATTATACTGAAAAGGCTTACCAAACTCGAAAAGGTATGCCAGACAATGGCTTGCCATGTGTTATTTGACTTATAAGGGAGAAATACGCTCGCGAGACGATAGAAACGCGGATGCAGCAGGTTGAAGGATTTCCTTCTTATTTTAAAGTCTATTCCGCTCGTTATGGGCATGTATGAATTATGTAGAAACTTGAAAAACAGTTTGATCCCAGTTTTGGTGTTAATAAAAAGGAAACTAGTTGGGTCTGATTTTCTAATATCTTGAAGATTTAAAAAATTCTTTGATATAAGTGCATTTGGCATGTTACAGTTTTTTCAAACTTTTATTTTATTTATAAGCGGCTCTATTAAACCAACCAACAAAGATGAATATTAATATTTTGTACGAATGGGTAACACTCAATAGTGTCTCTACTACATTACAATTTAAAATAAAGTTATTAATTTGTTGTTTATTTTTGAATCAACATTCAAAAATAGATAATTGGCTAAAATAAAAAAAATTCAGACAAAAATAATTATAAATTTATGTGATAGAAGTAAAAATCACAATCATGAAATGTTTGAGTAATGAAATGATGTCATGTATTATATTTACTGCTTATTATATCTTTAGCAATTCGCAAAAGGGAAGAAGAGAGATACAGAAACGACGGACATGACTGTCAAAGTTGCGTCTGTGGTTGAAACTATTAACGAAATGAAGAGATCTATCGAAAATGTGGTTAGTTACCACTTTATTAACGTCTCACAAAATATATACTTCTGTTTAAAAACGCAGTTCTGTTTATAGCAACTCATGCAGCAGGAGATATATCAAATGAGGAGCAAATTGAGAGAATACGAATTAGAGAGAAGAAAAATGCAACATTTAACAAGTAGAGTGGTGGAACTGGAAAATCGTTTAAGATTACGTTGCAGATCAGCGATACCAATGAACAGTGGCTCGATGAAGTTTTAACATCGCTATAGCGAAAGAAAAGTGTCAAAAACATTGGACATTGTCCATAGATGTAATATTTATGTGAGAAAATTGCATACTATCACTGCCATCTCTTTAGCTTTTATGATACTTTATTTAGTGTAGTAGAATTTAGAATATAGTAGAATTCTAACTTAAATAATCATTATGATTATTTGTATTCAGCTTTATAATAAAATGGAAAAGAAACTTGAATGATGTTTGCTGATTCACACAACATAAATAGTATAACATTTTACTATAATAATACAATTTACTTTTGTTACTTACTAATACAAAAGTAAAGAACAGTATTAATCAATGCTATCGATTTTTTATATAGAAGATTTACTTTTGCTTCATTGAGTTCCTCTGTCTCCTTGTTAACCTCTTATGTGGCTTTATGTTGCCCTTTTGGTTTTTTCGTCTACCCTTCTTGATCTTTGCAATCTTTCGTTTATTCATCCACACAGGATAATTTCCATACTGATCCAACATTGTTTTTCTATTATATATCCGTTTATCAGTGTCTAGATCCATTTTTTCATCATCTGCTTTGGTGTCATCCTTAGCTTTTTCATTTTCCTTTATTGTCTTGGCATCAACAACTTGAGACAAACGTCAAAATCAATCGAAATCATTATATAAAAATAGTAAGGTATTAAGCAGAACTGTGCCTTACCTGTAGCAATTTTTGATATTTCTGACATTTCAACATCTGGTATCCCATTCTCATCAAGACCTAATGTCTTTTTTAATCTTTCTAATTCTTTTACTCCATAGCGTTCCCTTTTAATTGCTCTACACTTCCTCTTCCATTTACTACGCAATGATTTTCCCATTTTGTTTTTATATATCTAAATCATAATCGTAATGGTAAATTAATTATATTTTATCTAAATAGTGATACATTATCTGAGTACCGAATATGGAATTCTAATTTTATCATTACAGATAAAATTAAATTTATTTTTAATGAACATAAGAATATTAAAAATGAGCAACTGGATTGATGTTGGACATTTATTAAAATAGTTAACAATACACAGGAATTAATATACTACTTGATAGTGATATAACCTCGAACTATGTACAAATATATGTAATGTACTCGAAGATATAAAATTAAAAACAATTAATTGCACGAATAATACCTACTTTAAGAAATTATATTCTCTCAAAATATCTTCGTAAAAACTACTATATCACGTACTAAAAATCCGGAACACGTGGTATAAATTATAACAGATTTCTAACAATCCTGACAATGGAAATTCTAACCTCAAACGTGTTTAAATTTCACTGTGTTAAGTGGCGATCTCTACAGGTCGATATTATAAAATAAGGTTATACAGTATAGACAATGTAAGAAATAGAACTAGAACTCAATGCACTAGAAACCGCTTTTACCATTTTAATGTCATTTCCACTATTATCGATTCAGTATAGAATAAGACTGCAACGATACATGGAATTAAAAATAAATTTTACCATGAGATGTTAATAAATAACATATAGGACAAGATATCTTACAATTGTCGAAAATTTATCCAAAAGGTAGTATCCTTTTTCAGATTTTTAAGTATGTATAATATCTTACTCAAAGATTCTGCTTATGTATACTTCACAATTTTAGACTTTACAATTTGAGACTTTACAATTAATAATTACGGCTAATCAGTTTATAATATTTGTTATAATTCATAACTGTATCATAGCTATTAACCATAATGATATAGTACAATGTATTTATCAAATATTTAACACCGATTGCCTAGCTCTCGCCACGTGGAAATTGCTGGAATCCTTTATACGTGTGTTTACCAAACGATCAATCATTTTTTCAATTTCTAATACATTTTATTTAGGCAGAGATTAACATTAAAACTATCGACGATTGAAGTTTCTTTTTTGTTCTTATTTTTTAATTTCTGCTTTACAATTTGTCCAGCTGGACATTTGATAAATTATTCTAATTTTATTACTAAATAACATGTGGATGGCTATCTCCAGCTCCCACGTCCATCTTCCAGTTTGTCTATCTTATTTCTTTAATGAGGTCAGTGGGATGTTTTCTTCTTAGTCTTCTTTTTATGTAGATTTTGGTAGTTTCAGCAGCCAGCTGGTTTGGATGTATTACCATTCTTTCTTTGTATTTTCTTGCGTATCTGCCGATTTCTTCCTTGACCATTGGTATTTTTAGGTCTTTGCGTAAATTTTCATTTCTTATATGCCATGGGGCGTTAACTATTGTTCTGAGTATTTTTTATTCTAGCGACTCTAGTCGGATTGAAGTATAAAATCTGAATTTATGTCGAAAGGATTATAATGAAAGGTATACGAAAAAATATATAATATAAGCAGAGGAATAAGATTCTATCTCTATACGCCTTAAAAAATATTCAAGCCTGTAAAAATGTACTGTTGTAAATCTATAAAATTTCCATGAAAGATCACGAATTGTTCATTTTAGTCATCCTTCTAGTTCTAATGTTCATCTGTATCTTCCTTCCTACCTACTTACAAATACCTATGTATGAGCTAAGATTTTGACTTAAAAAGCTTGCCTAACTATATATCTAACTTAATTTAAAAATATGCTACCTAATTGCATACGTAATGTAATTTAAAGATACCTCCTACCAAAGTGTACATCTAATTTAACCTGCCTATTAAAAACCTAAGAATTTTTATGTGTCTTCCCTTATGTATATATAACAGCAAAGATTAAATAGGAATTTTGTAAGCCTCACCTATCAGAAATCTAAAGGTTTCTTTTTATAAATCCTATTTAGATTTAATCCAAAGAATTTAGATATAATCCAAAGATTAAAGAATTTCTAACTTCCATCTTTCAGAAATGTAAAGAATTCTTTTTACATACATACATATACATTAACACTTTGCAAAATATTACAAACTTAATTATCACTATTCTTCTTATCACTATTTATTTAATTTATTAGAAATTTTTCGCATTATATAAATCATATTTTTCAATATTACTTTTCTTTATGTACTTGATATGTATTTAATCTTAAATCATCCTTAAGCCAAGTTAAAAATACTCATAAACACTAAACAGATATATTTTCAGTAACAGATGCTCTTATAAAAAAAAAGTCTGAGAGATAAACCAACTTAGAACAGATCATCCACTCGAAATTGTGAGTGGAACATTTTTTCTATCTTGTGACACTAATGTACCAGTAGATTTACATATAACATACAAAATTCTCAAAATAAACCGCAATGAGCGATTTATCATGTGTGCAATATCAATGTATTGATGAAAAAGAATAGAAAAAAAGTTGTTTAAATTTCGAAAACATACACGACAATAGAGTGTTTTAATTATTTACGCAGTACTAATAAAAACTAATCAATATACTCATATTTAAGTATACGCAACACTAATAGCGGGAAATCTAGTACAACCATATTGGAGATTGCTGATACATGACCGCTTCTGTGCAGCTATTTTTTAGCTACATCAGGTGATCTAAAAGTAAGAATATACTTCCACAATCTCAGTGAAACCATTTTTTTTGCATTTTTACAGGCACAACACTAATTAGAAAACGCGATATTCTATCAATACAACTATCAACTAATTGTAAAAATAATTTAAGGAAACGCGTTAAAATACTAATTGCAATACTAATTTTCAAAATGAATTAAATAAAAATCACTATTTCTGTATGAATAAAAAGTTACTTCAAATTTTCGCGATAACAACAAACCGCAGCATTACAAAATTGATTAAAAATTTACATCTCTTTAATTCAACTTTATATAAACAAAAACGTGTCAAGTTATAATATTACTCTTCAATACATTCTAATTATTCATAATAAGAAATACGTATATACAATGAGGCAAACACGATCATTATTCTAGCGCAACGTTAATTAAAATCGAAATCAATTGTTTTTCGTAACTCTGATTTAGAACGGGAAATTTCGAATCAAACCAATAGGTATCAATTATTCGTAATATTAATAAAAGGAAATGCGATCTGCCCAAAATTATGGTAACCCGGAATGTACTTCAGCCAAGAAACAAATTAATACTATTACTATTACTACTATTACTACTACTACTATTACTAATACTACTACAAATATTAAAAGTGACTATAGTGACAAAGTAGTAACAACAATGACTTCCTATGCCCTGAATGAACCAGAGGATAGGAAACCATTAATAGTTGCCCTCTTCCATGACAATTTGCCGGGCTTCGTCAGCTTCTAGCTTCTTCTTTCTTCGAGCGCAATGCCCATTGAAACCTAGGCTCGATATTCTCTAATCGTAAAGCAAAAGATAACTTATTAAATAACTAAATAACAAAGAATTAAATAAATTAATTTAATTAATTAAAAAATAATAAAACAAGCTTACCAACTCAATCATTGCACGATTTTCACACATAACTTGTTTATTTGGTACACTACTTGTACAATTTAATTTATTTACCATTTTCCTGAAATCGACTGACGAAATCTAGTGACCATTGCGTTAAACGCGGTAAAGATACATGAATCTTAATTTTAATTACGAAAATTGATAACCAAAAGTATATGTATATCTTTCAAAAAATTCATTGTATGTATTGCGTATCATATGTGTAAAGGTTTAGGTAAAGATTTGGTACTATCATTCTAATTTGATGATAAGATTAATAATATTACTCTCTACAATTTGTTATATTTAATAGCAGATCTGGTTATTATTACAGTTCTTGATTGAATTAATATTTGTAAATTTCTTTTTTACTATTTAATATTACATAGTCAAAATGGTGTAATTCCACGTCTTAACCATACACACACAATGCCGAAAATACATCGTGCACAATACGTTAACGCATCGTCAATCGCTGAAAAATTATTATAAATTTATGAACTATGATCGTGCCCATTGCCTATTGTACACCCAAGTAACACCTGGTCACGTGAATGAGCTCCTAGCAATGAACACGGAAGAGATTGAACCTGAAAATCCTGAGCTAAAAAACGATTAGTATATTCATGTATGTACTTTGTATCTACTGTACTGATTTAATGAATTATTAAAACTTTAGAAAGAAAAAGATTGGAAATGAA